TGCAGGAATTAATAAATATACGACGTTTAATAAAATAGTAACACGTAGCAATAATTTTGGCATGTAGCCCTTTAAGTAAGTATGATTTTCAGCACATGCCGGATGTTGGAAAAAATGCATGAAGTAATATGTATGTGGATACATATGCACATAATAAAAAAAAACTTACATATATCGCACGCTTGCCTTTTGTTTTCACTCTTACAATTTGCCACTGCAGACTTCATTTTGACTTGTAATGTTTCAATAATTGTGTGAAACTACGCACAAATAGTTAAATAGTAAATGTTTAGTTATTTGCCCACTGTTTTTGGGTTAGTGGGCTGAGGGGGGGGGGGGGGGGGTGGCGCCAGTTTTGATATCTAACCCACTTGAAACAGCATAGCTCACACTGTAAAAAGTTGCATTTGATCCCTCGAAACCTTCCATATATCCCTGGGGAACCATTGGAAAATGGTCTAAAATTAGCATTTTAACACCGGAAATGTAAACTCGATAAACAGTATTTTTATGCAGAACACCTTTCTATTGTCAAAGGTATGCAACATTTATTGTGCATATAACTCCGGCTACGCCATCCACAGTATATATGCGTAGAACTCACTCCGAAATTCACAAAAAAGTGCACGTTTCAGATCGAATTTATTACTAAATTAGTGACCGCAAAATACAAAATTAGGTTTTACAATAAAGTGTAGACCCTTGACTACAAGTGTGTGTAAAAGTTTTTTATCGGGTCACCCATTCGGACACAATAGCCTGAAATCATTGGGAAAACAACTAAACCGTACCCAATTAAATCCAGTTAAATTTGGTTTTCCTCAATCAACAACTGCACCAAGGTGATGTCACGCACACAGCTGATTCTGTCAAATTCACAAAGAGCGTATTAGCGGTACCACGATGGGCGCAATCTATATTTCTCTCGAACGGATTTTATGGAAATTGCCTTTTTTCTGCAAAAGAGATAAAGTATATTCGATTAAGAATATCCACGATTCAGCTTTCCCGGATTCCATATATACACATTTGATGTTGCCTTTTTGAGACATTTGCCATTTTTTGCCTTGCTTCCTTTAAAAAAGTGAAATTTATTTTAATATTTAAACATAAATGTTCAGATTCGAAAACAGCGATTGTGAAATTTTTGTAAAATTTTTAAGCAAAAATTAATGGTGATTTCGTTTCTCCCAAAAAATGTTGACCTTCCACGGTTTAAAATATGTTTGATGTTACACTCAACTCTGCAAAAGGGCATGTTTTCGCCTTCTTGCCCTTGCCTAGCTACATCGTTGGATAATATACTCGTTTTAAGCAACCATATGGTTTCCAGGAACCGATCGCCCCTGACAAAGCTTCAAAGGGTGGTGAATGTGGCTTTTTGCCTTACTACGGTTATACGCACGTCTTATTTGCAAATAACAATTTGCAAAATGGTAAAC